GCATGACTTGAAATTATTTTCTTAAAATTAGGTAATTACTCTCTCGTCTTTAATTTTTAATTTTACATTTTTTTAATTTTATTAAATAAAAGATTTTATAGTCACAACCGTCATTAATATCACGCCATGTCTATAACTTTTCATATTTATTTTAGAGCAATAATAAAATAATAATTTACATCTATGAATCGTACATAATAATAACATGGCATGACTGAATAGTTCACCAAAGTATCAAAACCTGACTCAAAAAAGTATCATGCACAAGACCCCAGACAACAAAGCATCATGCGAACAATATAAAATTTTATTTAGTCACATGAACATTTTCACGTTCGTTTGATCTTCTTTCCTCACATTTTTCTTCGTACTTTTACAATTTTATATTTATTTATGTTTTATTGCAATTAAGAGGAAATTTTTTCAACTTGAGAGTAGCGGAATGGTTTGTAGACATTGTAGTGAGGAATGAGTTACAATGAAAATGTGTGTTTGTATCATACCTCATTAATTCTCAAATTTCCTTGAAAAGTGATGAAGGTGTGAGAATGTATGGGCACATTTTTGAGAATTATGATTGATTCTTGGAAGCTGTTAATGATGACAGAATGTTTTAGTGAATATCGAATTATTCCTGTCTGATTTTATTGTTATTTCTCATTTCGAAGGGCAAGCAAATTCTATTGAATAAACTAAACGGCTAAAAATGCATAAGAAAACTTTAAAAAATTACAAATTGAATCCCAAACCAATTTTTTAATAAATCAGCCCAAAATACCAAAACCAGCCATCTCATAATTATGACAAATCTCTCCTATATCAAAAATAATGGAACAAAAAAGATAACAATTAATAAAAACTCCACATTCATTTACGTATGCATTATTATATCTCTATCATGAACATGTCATAAAAACACAATAGACTTAATAACAATAAAATCCCAATGCCTTCCTTAAATTGATTATTCAATGCACAAATATTAATCGATTTTTTTTAAATTTTTTTTAATCAGTTCTCTCACCTTGAATAATACTCTTTATTTTTAACATCTTAAAGTATCAAGCACTGATTTATGATTATAAGCTTTCAAAAAGTGAACAAATTATAGGATTAATGGATATTATATACATACAAATGGGTCGATAACAATTTACATCGAATTTATGTGTCTTGGATATATTGGAAGGTAATTCCTTCGATAAATATATTGACAAATGGTTTTTGACTTGTTGGATTTTAATAGGTGATTTGGAGCAAATTGATAGAAAATAAATTTGATTGAAATTGATACTAAACTTAGTTTAGGAGGAGGGAAACTATTGCTTTAAGTTCATTTGGACTTTTTAAAAATTTATATAAATTTGTAGCGCTATTTGGAAACAAATTAGAGCCTTACTATTAACATACACAGTTCTAAATCAAAAGTTTTTGCAATTCAATACCCAATAAAATATTTCCCATAATTTCTATTTTATTTCTGCCTATAATAAACCTTGAACCTCTTTGCTCATTTATTATTAATTAACTTGAGATGTAATAATTATTTTACACAATTAAGTACTAAATTTAAATAAAAATACATCATCATCATCATTATAATCATCTTGGATTTTTTTTTAATTATATCAACCTCTATTACTACCTTTTTTCAATTTACTGTAATTAATAACTTATTTGTGAATAAATCTCTTTTTAATCAAGACAGAACTGTGTACATGGGATGCATTTTTTAGAGAATAGGATGAAGTTATTAGGGGGGTTGGCTAGGGAGGGGATAAAGTGCACATAAATGATTTTTTTTATGATAACAATACTCCTGATTGAAATGTTCACAAATTGAAAATGAAATTAATAAAACAATAAATACCCCAACCCTGACTCAAGACTTCCTCGGCCATCGAACTCCATACATAACCTAAAAAAATCTCAATCCACATTCACCATCCCCCTCATCTATCTCATATCTTAAGCAACCACAATATAATATAAAAAATTTAATTTTTTTTGTTGTGTGTAAATTTAATTACATTTTTTTCCCTACTCATTCGCAACAATTTAATTTTAATTTTTTTCATTGTTCAAACTCTTTGTATTACAATTAATGCATGTGCACACAGAATTTAGCATTGAAATAATTGTAATTATCTGAGGCAAGGTGTACGGATTCTATAATAATAATAAAATAATAATCATATTCTAAGTATAGTCGAGAAAGAAGCAAGAAATTCTCATTTATTATAAAATAAATAACTTCATAGATACGCTAACAATATGTACATACAAATTTTCTTTTTGTTGCAATAAATAAGCACAATGTGTAGGCTACGAAATAATAAGAAAATATAAAACATTTTGAGGAAATTCTCGGCGTCTTCTTTTTCTTTCTCTTCTTTGAATTAAATTGTTAAATAATGTGCACTTACTTTACAAATTATGTTGAAAACAGAGGAATGAGTTGGAATAGTTGAGCAGATTAATGATCTTAAAAATGGTTAAGAGCGCATTTTTCAAGCTTTGAAGCTATAAGACCCTTAAATTATGTCATCACAGCCATTGAACTAATTTAACTCACAAGTTGTGATCGCATTCAGCAACAGCATTAACCAAAAAAACGACAATTATACGAAATTAATTTTGATAGCGTCCAATATCCTGTACAACTTCCAGTGCCTCTCTAAATGACATCAGACAAATTTGCATATTTATTTAATTTGAAGACACCCAAAATGAATCAATAGAAACATCAAAAAGGCTTAAAGTTTTTCAGCTAAAAACAATTTTGTTTCTTGTGTGAATATATGCACATATTTATGTCGATTCGTATGTTTGGGAAGGAAATTTATATTTTTTACGAGTAATTTTTTATAACAACTTTGATTACACGGAAAAGAAGAAGAGAAATGCATAAGAAAAAGAAGAAATTGTAGATGGGGGAAGGGGGTGTAATACATTTAATGAATGTAAATGCAGCAACAATACAATTTAAATTAAATTCTCGTTATGTGATTTTTTTACTTCAATTTTATTTTACTTTGTGAATTTTTTTTACTTCTTTTATTTGGTCTTATTATAAAAAATTGTTTCTTAACACGTGCAGGTTATATTTAAATATAAATAATAACAATAACAAAAAGAATTATAAAGAGTCTAGGACTGGGAACTTTGAGCTGTAAAAGAGTTTAAACTATTTCTGAATTAAAAATAAAAAATTGAAGCAAATTGTCTGAATTTTTGAAATAAAATCGCCAAAATGTGCCCACCCCTAGACAAAAACTAGTAGCACTAATAATAGCAGCAACTTTGTATAGTTAAAACATAAAAAACTCACATTTAACATAAAAGCAAACTAGAGAAACAGAGTCGAAAAGAATCAAACAAGCAGCAAGCAACAGCAAAGAAATACATTGCACATTATAGTCTGAAGTGTTGTATTATAAGTCTGATATCAAGTTGAAAAATACTTAATTCGCTTAATGGTCGATAATAAAATGCAAAGAGGCTCCCCTTCAGCAAGTGCTACTGTATTTCTGTTGGGCTGCTGCTACTGTTTCGCCTTCAATAAATGCCCGAGCTTCAGATTGACCTAAACTATATGATTATGCAAATTGTGTGTCTGCTGTTGTTCTGCTCTTGCATCTTAATAGCGTTTTTTTGTTGTGCGATGTCTACATTCTCGTTCACATTATTAATGTTACATACGTACGGACAAACACACATCTGCACTTTGAGCATTATTTTATATTTTTTTATTAATAATTTTTTATGAGCTTTATTTTTTTTTCCATCGCCAAACATGATTTCAACATTTAAATTATAAAATAAAATTGTAGGCTTCTGGACTGGATAACAATTGATTGCTGCCTTTATTTCTCTGAATTTTCTCTCCATCTCTCTTATTCACTCTCTTTTTCTTTTGTCTTCATGATTGTTTAACATGAATTTTTCCATTTCGCAACCTTTTTTTTTCTTCTGCTGTTATCACTATAATTTGAGAATCGTACTTTTACTCATATGTGTGTGAACTTCTTGTGAATAGGGATTTTTTTTTTTGATTTGAATATTATAATTTTTATCTTGGAATGATTCATGTTGTTAGGTAATTTGGAATGGATTTTTGAGGGGTTATAACGGTAAAATTGAACGGATTAGGAATTTTAAGATTTTTTTAAATTTTTTTTATTGTGCTCAAAAGAATAATCTCTGATTAGCAGTAGCATAGCTAAGCATAGGGGGGTGAGGGGGGTTGTTGTATTTGAACTTGATAGTTAAGTAAGAGCTATGTTCTCAGTTGTCAGTGCCATTCAATTAATCACTTTTCAGATCAGAGTAATTCCTTAACTAGATTGTGTCTGTTGTACCAAAACCAAATATAAGAAGAACTTCTTTAAAGTTTCATGTACTTTTTCTATCAACAATCTTAAATTTCTTCGAAAACTCTTCAAATTTCATTGCGTGTCATTTTAATTCCATCATTACGCACTTTTTATCTTGACCAAATGTCAAATATGATCCCTCAAAAAGCTCATTAATTGCTTTAATAATGAGTTTCAGATAATTTTGAATTTTTAAGTCTACAAAAATTTCATAAAAAATTTCAATAAGAAGCAATTAATTAAAATTTGATCTAAATTGTCAATAATGACTTGCAATAAAAAATGCTTAAAACAAATAGAAAGGATTATCTTGATAGCCTTATTAACTTAAAATTGCTACTTCATTGCATAAAAATTTGATAATTTGGATAACTTTAATCAGATGATGTTTTTTGCTTACCAACTGGCTTGCTGCTTGCCTAGATTATCTAGCTTGGAGCCAAAAAAATAAATTAATATGCGCTGGAAATTCTCAGCAATGACTTTCGCATTATTCATTTAAAAAAAATTCAATTCAATTCAAAAAAATAAATCTAACAATAATACTTTAAAAACATATATTTAATCTATATCTCGTAAATATGTACATACTTTCATATTATGTTAATTTCTTTTTTGTTGTAGACTAAAACAAAATCCAACGAATTGAATGTAAGTAGCTCAAAAAAAACTAAAAAAATGAATATCTATAAAACATATAATAATAATGATTGTTGTAACATTTTATACAGCTTATGCCTTTGTTTTGTTTCTGATTTATGATACAGAAAAAAAATTATTTAAAAATAATAAAAGAAGTACGAAAAAAATATATTTTATGCCTTCTGGCAATCTACAACAAAATAACAATAATAATAATAAGTAATATAATAATAATAAAAAAATGTGCATGCTAATACTTTACCCATGCGTAAAAATACTTATTTCAACAATAACATGAATTGTGCGTTTTCTTTTTAAATTTTCATATCTACATGTTATTGTATACAAGCATTTCTGATTAAATATCCCTTGCAATAAATAAATTTCTTTTAATCTCATTTTTATTATTATATTATTTTGTTGTTGTTTTGTTTCGCAATTTCTTGAGTTATTTTCTTGATGTTTGCATTGTATTTAGTGAGTCAGTAAGGCATTAAAACATTTTAATTTTTTTAAAAGTTTTCTTCCATGCATAGAATATTTTTTGTGTTTTTTTGAGTTGAATTATTTGATGGATTTTGTGTGTTGTTGAATTTTATTTTATGTTTTTTTATAAAAATATGTTAATTTGGATATTAAAAATAATAATCTAGTACTTTATGTGAAAAAATCTAGTACAATCTAAAAATCTGGTCAAGGACGTGGTAACGAAGAGTGTGTTAATTTCTTAGGTAAGGTAATCCATTGTATGTGAAAATAATCTCAAAATTTTTCCTTAATTTCATTATTTTAAATAAAAATCTAGTATTTTTGAAAATAATTCCAGTTTTAATACTTTCAAAAGAGTACCAAAAAAAGCTAGTGCTTTAAAATTCATTTATTGAAAATAATCTAGTCCGTGATTTGAAAATCTGTTTCATTTCTTTAATAATCTAGTACATTTCAATAAGTTGTAATCTAGTACCCCCAAAACCAGCACAGAAGTCCAACTCTCTTCACAATTTCAACCGCAAAACAAATTTTTCATTTCGTTACGTTCAAAATATTTTAATTGAGACTTCAATCATAATAATGTATGAATGTACATACACAAAATAATTGCGAATATAATAATTCAAACAAAAGATAATATTTATATTTATTTAAAATGCACGATCTCAGTCAGTTACGTAATAGAAGAACTGTCACTTAATTCGAGTGAAGTATAAAAGGGCCCGTTAGATAGATACAAATAGTCATTGTTTGTTCCTATGTGAAATTATTTTATTTAACTGGTTGATTTATGGAAGTGAATAAGATGAAAAAATATAAATATAAAATTAATTGAGGGATTTTATGAGAATGTTTTGAGATTTTTTAAGGTTTTTCTGTGAGATGTTCTATGTTCCAGAATGAATGGTAATTTGAGGGTTTAAGGATGTTGAAGACTTGATTTTGAGGTTCTTAAGACGGAATCAGACCTCTTCAAATTCAATTTCTCACCGTATTAGTCTTCTAATTAGCAATTTTTCCACTAGAACTCATCACATTAATACAGATAAATTTCTTATTATTATTTAATTAAAATAACAAATATTAATTACGAATCAAAAGATCCAACAACGGAGAATGAAATGAATAAATTTAACACAACATTTCACATACTTTATCTTCCATCGAACTCGATTGCATCACAAATTTAGAGAGAATATAAAATAACAATAGGAAAAAAATATAAATACAATAAAAATTATATTAAAAAAATTTCACAAAAGAAAGAAATTCCTGAAAAAAAAGAATTAAAAATGAGAACAAACGCTTTGAAATTGTTTTATTGGATCGTATTGTAAAATTTCTCGATTATTATAAAATAAAATTTCTTCAATTATTATTTACTTTTTATTATAAAACTCTATTTTTATTTCAACTGAACTCGAAATGAATACGCAGTGAATGAAAGTATGTACTTAAGTAAATATGTGGAAATAATTTGCTTACTTACATATTATAATAATAAATTTAAAACACGCTTTTGTATTTGATGTAAGAAATAAATTGTTTTGCATGCTGTAAAATGCGAGTTGTGGAATAAAGTTTGTTAATGGAGCGCATTTTGAGGATTAGTTGTGTAATGTGTGAGATGATAGTGGAAATAATTGTTGAATTGTTGTGTTAAGACATGATATGAGGGGTTATTGAAGTATGAAACTAGTTTCTTGATATCCATCAACACCTGGACTGGGATTAGGTATACCCTCTTTGAAATGAATCATTATTATGAGACTATGTTCATAAACTAGTTAAAGAAAGAGCTTAAAACACTTCCAGAGGGGGCCATTGTACCTCAAAATCTTCCAAACTTAATTTTTTTAAAAAAAGTTTGCAATTTAAAATGAAAATAATATTCTCATTAATTTGTTATTAAACGTCGATAGATCCCTTCCTTATTTAAAGAACATAACCCGAAAACAAGATAATAATTTCAGTTAAGAAACAATAAAAATATGTGTATTTTCAGTGCCCTTGCATAACGTTCAGCAGCAACAAAAAAACTTATTTATTCCATTAAAATGCACATTAAAAATAAATTTAATTACAGCTGCAATTCAAAAACTAAAAAAAAGTTGTAAAAGAAAGAAAAATGTAAATGTTGAATATTTATTAATGACGAATGTTGTGTACAATATTATAAATGTAAGTTAAAAAACTTTAGTAAAAGTTGAAATGGCAACAACAAGCTACAAGCGATGCCTGTTTAGTAGAAATGAAAGAGAGCATTTGTTAGTAATCAAGACAAATTATCGTCATAATTTTTATGACTTCCATTGTGCACATTACATTGCACACTATTTCTGCCATATATATTCATATTTTATTATTATTATTATAAGTATATACTTGCTTGAATATGTTATTATTATTTTTTTATTTTTGTTAAGCAAAATTTTGTCGGTGCTGCAAATTTTTATTTTATTTCTCACAACACACTCTTTTATTTTCGTTATTTTGCTGCTTTTGTTTTCTTGATGAAACAATTTTAACGTTTATCACGTCGCAATCAAGGTTATGTTAAGGTAGTCTAGCTCCATGAATAATTGTTGATTGAGGTGTTTTAATGTTTAGTCAATTAGTGAAATAGTTTCGGGTAAAATGAGACGAGGGAGGTTTATTGTTGTAGCTATAGAACTTTGTAGAAATAATTAATATTTAAACATCTTACTTTGTCCAGAGTTGGCCTTAAATGACCACTATTTAAGAAAATACTCTCAAAATAATTCAGGAACCCTTTCCATCAATTTAAATTCTAAATAAATTACAAGTCAACCTAATCACAACAATTACCAACGGTGCAAAAATTTCCTAAAAAATTGATTTCAATCATATCAAAATCAAACAACTTGAAAATAAAGTGACACATATACAGTAGCGCTCAAAATGATAAGGACAGCAACATTTTTTTCAAATTTTTATTAATTTTGACTCACAGGATTATCTAAATTTGCTGAAATTTGGACCAGTTATACAGTTTTAAATGTCCTTTCATACAATATATACTAATTGTACTTTAATTAAATATTTTTGAAAAAAACGGTAAAAAATCAAAATGGCTGCCGCTCAAAATGATAAGGACAGTAGATTATGTTAAGATTTTATTATATTAAGTAATATTATGGAACTTTTAAGACTTAAAACATTATGTTTGATGAATATTCTTTAAATAAATTTATAATTCACGCTTCTAGATGTAAGACTTCTTACTTAATTTTAGTGTTTAAAAATATGTGAAAATTTTGTCAATTTATGATAAATTGTCGTACAGAAACTTGTTTATTCTTTAGGTTAACTACCAAAAATTATAGATAATTTGATTATTTATCAATTTATGATCAAACATTTAGACAACTGTTAATTGATGTAAATTTTTTTCAAAAATTTTATTTTTCCTTTGCGAAATTTTTGTGAACTTAAGTCGACAATTTGAAAAAAAATTGTTAAATATTCGCAAAACAATGCTTAAATTAGTATATTTCTCTTCCATTTTAATTGTTTAATAACATATATCAAGCAATTGAACCACTTCGAAAGGAAAAGTGACTAAGCAATCGTTCTCTTTCAACAACAAGACTCTTTGATATGGCAAACATGAAAAATGTGTTGAAACCTAAAAAAATATGATTTACATAAGTGAAGTTTTAACATAAAATAATTAAATTTGGCTTTTTTAATCGAATAACACCCTATTTTGTATTCTATGAGTGCTAAATTTAACATTTTTACAAAAAAATATTTCTTCATATTTTTTCACCTTGAGAAGCTCATAGAGAACGATTGCTTAGTCACTTTATCCTTTCGAAGCGGTTCAATTGCTTAATATATGTTATTAAACAATTAAAATGGAAGAGAAATATACTAATTTAAGCATTGTTTTGCGAATATTTAACAATTTTTTTTTGAAATTGTCGACTTAAGTTCACAAAAATTTCGCAAAGGAAAAATAAAATTTTTGAAAAAAATTTACATCAATTAACAGTTGTCTAAATGTTTGATCATAATTTGATAAATAATCAAATTATCTATAATTTTTGGTAGTTAACCTAAAGAATAAACAAGTTTCTGTACGACAATTTATCATAAATTGACAAAATTTTCACATATTTTTAAACACTAAAATTAAGTAAGAAGTCTTACATCTAGAAGCGTGAATTATAAATTTATTTAAAGAATATTCATCAAACATAATGTTTTAAGTCTTAAAAGTTCCATAATATTACTTAATATAATAAAATCTTAACATAATCTACTGTCCTTATCATTTTGAGCGGCAGCCATTTTGATTTTTTACCGTTTTTTTCAAAAATATTTAATTAAAGTACAATTAGTATATATTGTATGAAAGGACATTTAAAACTGTATAACTGGTCCAAATTTCAGCAAATTTAGATAATCCTGTGCGTCAAAATTAATAAAAATGTGAAAAAAATTTTGCTGTCCTTATCATTTTGAGCGCTACTGTAGATTTATTTGTTACT